ATATATATATATATATATATATTTAAACAACATGAATTGTATCTTTTAAACACTTTCTACTTTAAATCTTTCGTTTCTATTTCTATTTGAATAATATATATTCAATTTTCGTTTATTCTCATCCTAATAAAAATTCCTAATAAATTTATTTATCCCTTTATACCCAGGAAAATGTTGTAAATTCCAAATACCAAAATCTTCTTAACAACCGATTCCAAACATTCCTTATTTTCTTTTTAACCGCGGTGAAACGAAGTCGGGCATAGTGGATTTATCATCGATATTTTTTTACGACGTTGAAAATGCCAGCCTCTGAATCGTAAAGGAACTATGCTATGCGGCAAATGGTACGTGAAATCTCGCGAGAATTTGCCCCTCTGAATGCGGAATGCATTTTCATCGCGTTCACCGTGCGATGCGTCACGATAACGGCCAACGTGTTTCGAGACAAAAGAATCGTTAGTTCTGTCAACCGGATCGATCGAGAAATCGATTTTTTGAAAAAAGAAGCGTGGAACCTGGTTAAGCCTCGTCTTGTTTCTCTTCGTGTCGTTCTATGTGCTTCGTTCCATCCTTGTTGGGAGAATAATATGGAAAATTTGAATTTTCTTTTCCCAGCTACGTTTGTTTGGAAATAGTTTGTTGTAGAACTTTCTCTTTCCCCGTGTAAATTTAAATTTCTATTTCTATCTCGCCTCGCGTATTTTTCGTATAACGCGTATCCTTCTCACTTTGTCCATTCTCATATTCTATTTTTCATTCTCCCATTTTCCCCTCTGTTTATCCATTTCTCTCCGATATTTCATATGTATATATGTATATGTCTTCTCGTCCTATTTCCATTTCTCTTTATTTGTAGGGGAGTAATTTCTTTTTTTTTCGAAAAATTGGGAAGGATATAAATGTAAATATTAGAGTGAATGTTGCACATTACTGGAAACGTTATTCTCGAATCTGTTCGCGTATATCGTTCAATCCACCTCTTTCTCTTGTCGAGTTTGACGTTTACAAGTTACGCATAAATTTCCTCCTCCCTCCCTCCTTTCGCTGTCATTCCATCGATTTGATTCGCCTCTCGTGTTGTGAAAAAATATGGGGGTATATGGAGAAAAGGGGGTGTGATAAAGGGGAGAGAAAAATTTTAACAGGGGAGAAAGTTTGCATTAGATTGATGTATCGATCGGTGGACCGGATCTAAATGTAATTTACACGTTCATTTATTTTCCAACGATCTGTCTTGCTTCCACCCTCCTGTTTCTCCCCTCCTCTACCTTCGCTTCTACCTCTATATATTTTCATCTGACGCAACAAGTTTTTATCATTTTTTTTTTTCTTTTTATGGAATGAAATCAGTATTGGCAAATGTTAGAAAGAGAGATCGTATTTCTCTGTTTTCAATGCCAAGAGCAGAGAAAAGAAGAAAATTCTTTGATATGAAATTGATTGATCTCAGAATTTTATTTTTCATTTCAAAAATGTTATTATTAGTAATCACTTTCACACTCTTTTCTCTACATGTAGTAATAATCTAAATAAATAAATAATTATTAAATAGAAAAATTGAAAAGTTCCTTTATTGCTCATAGTTCTCTATATATATTTTAAAAAATAATTGAAATAATCATTATAATAATTAAATATATATTTCAAGAAAGTCTATCCCTACGTGAAGTAATAATAATCAAAATAAACAAATAATCATTGAATAAAAAAGTTGAAAAATGTTGCTTACAGCTCTATATATATATATTTTAAGAAACTCTATTAGCAATAATCAAAATAAATAAATAATTATTAAATAGAAAAGTTGAAAAATTCCTCTATTGCTCACAGCTCTCTTATATTTCAAAAAATAATCGAAATAAGTAAATAATGATTAAATAGAAAAATTGAAAAATTTCTCTGTCGCTCATAACTCTATATATATATATTTCAAAAAATTCTATTCCTATGTGAAGTAATAATAATTGAAATAAATAATTATTAAATAGAAAAGTTGAAAAATTCTTCTATTGCTCACTATGTATATTTCAAAAAATAATCGAAATAAACAAATAATCATTAAATAGAAAAATTAAAAAATTCCTCTATCGCTCATAACTCTATATATATTTCAAAAAACTCTATTCCTACGTGAAGCAATAATCAAAATAAATAAATAATTATAATTAAATAGAAAAGTTGAAAAATTCCTCTATTGCTCACAGTTCTCTATATATATTTCAAAAAATAATCGAAATAAACAAATAATCATTAAATAAAATAATAAAAAAGTAAAAATTGAAAAATTCCTCTTTCGCACACATCTCTCTCTCTTTCTATATATATATATTAAAAAACTCTATTCTTACGTGAACCAATAATCGAAGTAAATAAATAATTATTGAATAAAAAAGTTGAAAAATTCCTCTATCGAGTTCTCACAGTTCTATATATATATTTCAAAAAAATTCCATTCCTATGTAAAGCAATAATCGAAATAAATAAATAATATAGGGAATACACTCGAAAATTCCTCCGTCGCTTTTTTGTGTTGCTCCCAGCTCAATATATTCGTATCGATACAAATTTAAAGCAGATAAAACATTGGAGACGTAAATATGGAGACGAAAATGCTCAAAGATGTACAACATATTCGGCGAAATTGGGATTTCAATACGAATTTAAACATGATAAAATATCAAAGATAAAATATAAAGATATCAAAAATATTCAATATATATATATATTTTAAAATAAAATACATCGAAATGTAAAAAAAAAAATATTCTATACAAAATCACGAATTGTTCCCAATTTCTCGATAATCGACTATCGTGTTAAGCGTCTTATAAAATATTTCCCAGTTGGCAAGAAAATTTACCGACTGTTATATCATTTCATTATCATTTCGAATAAAAAAATCGCTCCAAATCAAGGAGAATCAAGAGAATCAAAGGAGGACAGAATTTCGAGATTTAATGTAAGAGGGAGACGGAAGGGAGATGGAAAAATTTCTCCTTCGCCGAAAAGATGGCTCGAAATAAGAACAAAGGCGAGGGTGCAGGGTTAAACATCAATTTTTTCCGGCTCGGTTTACCGCAGAGGAACAACGTTAAAGGATAAACCGGCCTAAGCCCGGAAAAGCCCTGTTTTATGTCGAACCAGCCTGAAAAGGGGGTTGACCTCGCTCACCCTCCACTTTCTCCGCCGCCCTTCTTTCTGCACCTCTCGCAAAATCAATAGTATCGGTGTAGTACCCGAGTTTATCCCGCGCTTCAGACGCGGCTACAGCCAGCCTTCCCCCAAGTTCACAAATTTTTTTGGCCAACACTCGTCCTATTCAAAATTACCGAAGAAAATTAGCATACTTTTTTCAATAATCCATATTTTTGTCCTCTCTTCATTTCTATTTATTTATTCAATTTATTAATTTTTTTCTCTATTTTGTTTTACGTTATACCATATGTTTTTTTATTTCTCTGTATATTGATTTACCTGTATTTTCTTCTTTATTCTATATTAATTAAAAGCGATGTTAATTGTTTTCACACATTTAGCTATATTTTTATGTTTTATGTATACGTTTTTGAAATAATAAATTGT